TATTTAAGAAAGGACTTGTATCGCTAATGTTTCTTCGGAAAGAATTTTTACGGAAAATCAACAAACGAACAGAGATGTAACAATACTAACAAATAGCACACCGTTCTACTCATATAATAATTTTGCAAGCAGCATATGATTGTTAGCTGTTCAAATTTTAGAACATTTTTTTATTTAAACAATCTACATATTCTAAATCAGTTATATAAAATATATACCATAACATCAAATATTAATGTCCAAAAATTTCGACTATCGGTGTAACGTACTCATTAGCACAAAATTGCGTGGTTTGACGAATTGGTGATACTTCAGATCTATCGAATCTTAGAAAGCTAAAAATGGTTTGGCTAGATATAACTTTTGCGTTTTATAAAATTACAGTTTATTTTTAAATTTCGGTAATTCATCCTTTTTTCTAATGTTGGCGATCTCTTCAACTTAATTGTGCCAGAAATTAGTTTTTTCAAAGTTGAAATGAATAATAAGCAACGCAAGTCTATGTCTCAAGTTAGCAGTACTACTACTGATGCTATATGTTGTAATGCTAGCTCTTCCAGTTCAACAGATTCTAGTTCTAAGTGTGATAGTCCTGCTAGAAAACACAGAAAAGTACATGAGAGAGAACCTGGAAAATGCAAAAAACAACCTGTCATATCAGCGTTTTTTCAGCCATCATCAAGTTTAAAATTATCTTCAAAAATGCCAATTCAATTTGAAGCCTCTGTACCACAAGTAAGACAGAACCCAACAGAGAATAACAACTTTAGTCAAAAGTTTAAACGTCCTGTTTGTATATCCACTTTTGAAAAACTACAAAACTATTCTCATGTTACAAGAGATAGATTGGAAACAAATAATGAACATGAGATTGAGAATGACAACAATGTGAAAACAGATATTTTAGAACAAACAGTTATAATGAAAAAAGATGCTAATGTTTTGATTGATAATAGAAATGACACTGACAGTAAAGACTTGAACTTGTGCCTAAGAGAATCAGAATCATTTAATCAAATAAAGAAGTTTTCAGAAAAGGAATACAAATTCCAAGAGCCACAGCCAAGTTGTAGAAAGAAGATAAAGTTAGTTTTTTTATGTATTATATTTACTAACCATGTGACACTCGTAGTCATACCTAATATTTTCTCTATAAAAAAACATCTAATTTCTAGATTTATCCAAATAATCATTTTTTTTATTATTTGTAACCATAATCATGCATTGTTACTGGATAAATAAATTATTATTGTTCATTGAGTTTCCTCGGGATGGTTAAACAATTTTCTAAAGTATTTAAAACTGAATATCAGATTTAACTTAACATATTGTTTCCCACACCTAGACAAGTGGTAATTAAACCACCATGTAATTTGTTTGGTTATTACAATGATACCCATCCTTTACACACTTTCACATCATAAAACAGTAAACACAGTTTTTAAGTATCATGTTACAAGTTACAAATAAATAAAAATACTATCACTATATTAACATAACTCTTTCATTCATGAGTTTTGTCAAACAGCTTTTCTGAAATTGAAGTACATTTAGCAACTGAAATATGTACAGTATATTTAAAATTGGATTAAAAATTTTCATGTTATCCATGATCTAAAGAACAGATTTCTAATTTATATTACAAGCTCAAGAAGAAAGTTTTAAAAGGGTTATTATAGATTGAGTTTCTATCTTAAAATTACATATTTGAAAGTACATTATCCTTGTGTCATTTTTTTGAGTTTATGTGATCTAAGAGAGAGTCATTAATGTCAAGAGAAGTAAGTTGTTTGATGTTGGTTTTTATTGTCGGTAATATTTATTAAAGGTAAGTAGCCTTGGTGTATTTTGTATATTTTTATAGGTTTTTATACCATAACTGTTGCAATAAGAAAAATAACAGTAATGTGCCAATTGTTATTATCAGAGCCAATCAAGGGACTTTAAGGTAGTAAACACACTTAAAAGTGCAAATGTAGGAATTGTTAGAAATGAGAACTTTTAATAACAATTACATAAAAGTTATGAGTTTTGTAGCAATATGTTTGAACAGCAACTGAAATATTAACAGATATACTCCTCTTGAAGAACAGTATATGGCAATCAAACAACAAAACCCAGATGCTATTCTTCTCGTGGAATGTGGATACAAGTACAGATTTTTTGATGAAGATGCAAAGGTACTAAGTATATTAATATCTTAGATATTATTTGTTTTGTGAATACATATGAAGTAACTTATTGTAAGATACATCCATTTGAAAATGAAAAGCCTGAAAATACTAGTAATAAAATGTTATTTTTCTAAAATAAATATTGTTCAAGTAGATTTCATTGTGTAGTTATGAAACAAAGTATAAAGAAATTCCAAAATATTTAATCCAAAGTTATGATTGTCAGTTAAGTGGTGAACACAGATCTAAGTATTCCAGTACTTTTACCACATACTGTGTATTAAGATTACATTTGTGTAATAAACGTCTAGATTTATGCATATTTTCAGATTGCATCACAGATATTAAGTATTGGATGCTACCAAGACCATAATTTTCTGTCAGCCAGCATCCCAACTCATCGTCTTCATGTTCACATACGAAGGTTAGTGACAAAGGGCTACAAGGTTGGAGTAGTTAAACAGATTGAAACTGCTGCTTTAAAAGCAGCTGGAAACAACAAGAACAGTGTCTTCAGTCGCAAACTGACTGCATTATACACAAAATCAACTATGATTGGAGAAGGTATGGATATTGAACCTGTAGTTACTAAATGTAGTACAGGTTTGATACATTGTTGTGATTTAACTCATTCAAAAGCAGTTTAATTATTATTTTCATGTTAGAAAATATATTTTGTTTGGGTGTAGAACTTTTTTGGTGAAGATAATGGATTCAAATGGAAGGCTTGTTTTTCACTGAATAAAATATTAGTAAGTGAAATGAAGATGGATTTATGCTAAATATACCAGAGGTTAGTCATTCTCAGTTTGTCCATAATTAAGAAAGATCCACCTTTCAAAATTTCTTAGGTTTTAGGATTTCGTATTTTCATTTTTTAGAGCTATGATTCATTCATGATTCTCAAAAATCATAGCACATTTCAGCATCCATATTGTAAATATTAATTACAAGTTTTTGTAAATATTTTTTTGATAGATTTTTAATAACAATGTCACAGGTGAAATAACTGTTAATTAATTAGGGTAATTTAATTTTACTTAGGGTATAATACATCTTTTGTCAGCTGTGCTCAGCTAAGTAATTTTCATAATTGTGTATATGTGTAGTTTGATCTGAGTGATTAGTGGTATTTACTAATTGATTAATTGATGGGCTCGTTAATCAGCTACATTCGATTAATTCATTAGTACAACATTCTTATCAAAATGATAAAAAGAATGTGTGCCAGCTACAAACCTTTGTGAACCACAAAATTATTATAGCATGATATTAATCTTCCTATTTTTGGTTTGTACATTTCTTACTTGGCAAACCACTAGAGTCAAGTGGAGACAACCATGTGGTCAACATTTTGTTTGTTTTTAAAATATGCAGTAATCCACCATTGATATTGAGTAACACAAAAATTTATAATTAAATAATGAAAACATGTTTTATTATCACTAATAAGGATAATAAAGGTTTTATATCATGATTGAAATTAGAATAAAGTAGCCAGTTAATCAATTTATATATGTGCATTGTTTGAATAGGATAAATATAAAAATATTAATCAATAAATAAGGATATCTGTCACCAGAATATTTTGCAGCCACCTACCATACTCAGTAAACTTCACTGAGCTTATCGGATTTCGTTTGATGAATGTAGTAATAATATACTCATGTTTACAAACAGAGCAGTTCAAAAAATCATAGTATATCTAATAAAAACTGTAATTTCAAAGAACCAAGCATGAACAGGATGCCTTTACTAAGCCTTAAGCAATCTTAAGTCAAGTGACTTCTCAGTTTCTACTGTACATAAATTCCTATGACTCAGTAAATTACTTTTACCAGTTGATGATATAACCTTCTCCAAATATTGTACACTTGTCACCATGTTAAACTTGTAATAAATGTTTCTTTGTTACCCATTCAACCTGTCTCTAAACTGTGGAAGCTTACCTTATCTCAAGTTATCTGATGCCTTCTCATTGAAGAAAATTTCTGTACCTTTCCAACAGGTATAATTTTATAAGTAGATACTTTCACAAACAAAAAGAGTATTTACAGAAACTATGAAAAAACTCTTAAACCTATATATTTAATGTTATATGATAGTCTAATTCTTGCTTTATTCACTCATATTTAAACTTTCAATATAAATGTTCTTAAAACCATGTTCCATTAATAAATTATCAAACCCGCTCAATGTGGCACCATAACTAGGTGACAACTGAGGCCAATACAAAAACTAAGGAAAACTTGAAAATCCATAAATGAGTAATATATTCTCGAGCAGTGAAGGATCTTAGCAAAAATATAGTTATTCTAAGAAAAATTGACAGGTAGGTTGTGTTGTTTACAGGAAAACTTTGCAGCAGTGTAGAAATTAAAATATGAACTATTTATAAATAACTATCAGAAAATTACAAAATATCATTTCTAAAATATTGTTATGACAGCGGAAGTCACGCGATGCTGGAAGCATGTGCGCTGGAGTTTCTAGAAGTTTC